GAACACCAGAGTGGTGCGAAACACGGGTATAAGCCATTCGGGCCATCGAAGCACGGTCTGGTCACAGGTCAGGTAAAAAGGGGTGAACACCAGAGTGGTGCGGAACACGGGTATAAGCCATTCGGACCATCGAAGCACGTTCTGGTCACAGGTCATAGCATCGCGTGGCAGGAGGGGGAAATCTTAGACTATCAGGCAAACTGTAGAAAAGGGAGGATTAAGCAGAATATCTTCATTTCTAGTACTAACAGTTCAAAGCCTTTGAATAAAAAACCCGGGGTACTGATAGCGAGCGTAGGGGAGAGTAGGATGAGTTGCATCGTGTCCAAGAAGTATCACGGTGATCTATCCAAATCTATACGACAGATGGCAGTTTTGAGTCAGTCAGCTGACGCAAAGCAACTTTATTTACCTTTCAGTGTACTTCTGGCCACAAACGTGTCCACTTCTTGGGGTGAGCACATGTCTGTTGAATTCATTAAATATCGTGTACTATGGCGATCGATATAAACGTGCGTGTTGACACATTACCTACACAGACCCATAATTTTAACCTCAGCACCCGCAACCGAGGTGACGGTAGTCGTAGACGCAACACTGACTGGTTAATACGGCAACACATTGTTTTTCCAACAAGCAACTCTTATTTTCAGTAAGACCCAGTATTTCGAATATGTATATATATATATATATATATATATATATATATATACATATATATATATATATATACATACATACACACACACACATATATATATATATATATATATATATATATATATCCTTCGATATCGTTGTCACTAATCCCGGTTTCCAGGGATCAATCGACGTGGACGAGTGTACTAATTCGATGAACGACGAATGCAATTCCGAGGCACAAAAAACAAGAAACATCAAATTCGCGTTGCCCATTGCAAATGTTCTGCTGATCTTTTTGGCTTAACCACAATTAAACGTTATGCTTTCTGGCTGGTTATGATGCGCTGACTGGCGCTGATTCAGAAGTTGGCTCAACGACGCTTACCAAATGTATCAATCACTAGCTTTGCAAAGCTGTTTCGAACACTTGGTAGGCCAGCCTCATGTGTTAGAAGGGACCTTTCATCTAGGAGGCCCTAACTCTGCAAGAGGAGATCCCATGCACGCATCAGACGGCTACGGTGCAGGATCAGGATGACCTGTCTTGGGATAAGCCTTGGCCAGATTTCGAGGCCCCATTCGTGAATTACAAGCATCCTGTTCTGGATTAGGACGTCCCCTATGCATCAGAAGGTCTTTTCCGGAACAGGAGGCCTTTTGCTGGACAATTAGAAGGCCCCATTCTGGCTTTTACTCGGATATGATACATGCGACCATCTGATATGCGCATATCTCGGTTCCCCTCCGCTTGAATAAGACATTGCCTGGGAGGTCCCTTCTGTAAAGAGGCCTATTTCGTCCAGGAGACCCCTGGAAAATCCCGCCCCTTCGAGTCACAGTCTGTGGCGCTGCGCCTGCCTGCGGGTGCGCCGTCAGCAAGACACGGTGGTGCATTGGTAGCAAGATGGATTAGCCTGTACCAGTTGGTTCCAGTTTGACGGGTACCGCTTGGATCTAATGGGACTGGAATAGTTGGTTTCAGCCGATCGACGACCACTTGATACGGATTGGAGTGCGACCATTTCACTCAAATTGGAGTGTGACCAATCGGTTCCAACTGGCTGACCAATTGAGACCACTTGGCACCGGTCGGTGGCGACCAGTTGTCGAGCGCACAAAATTCCAACTGGCGGGCCTATCGGTACCATCTGATGGTGACCAATGGCGTCCAATTGGGCTGCAACCAACTGTCTACCAACTGTCTACAACTGGTACCATTGGCTGAGGGCCAAATGCTTTTTTCAGGGGGTTAGGACCAGGATCCAGTCAGGTCTTTAACGTCAATGATGAAAACATATTCGGAGGGGTTTTCAGCGGAGAGAAAAGCTCAGATCACTTGACCGTGTATTCAGCGTATAAGGCAAAATAATGACAATAAAGTGAGACTCGCGCGGTCACATGAACTTCAAAATAATAGAAGCCTGTAGATATTTCTAGCACGATATCACGACAAACCATCAATTCACAAAGCAACCATAAAATAAGACCATTAAATAATGCAAAGAACGTCCAAATTCACCGGACATCACTGAATGCGACAATGAGATGCATGATGACGTAGACTATATCACAAGATGGTGGGCAGCCGGTGGCACGGGTTTTGATTTCTGCACGTGACCCTGACCGAGTCAGCGCCCCCACTGCACAACGCCAGCGACCACCCCGGAGTGCTCACGGGGGACTGAACGATCACCGGTGTGACGACGTACCCTCGGCAAGCCACCGAAAGCGAAGAAAACCGACCCTTCCAGATGCACCGAAAAGCACGCATGAGACTGCACGACCTACTAGTAGTGCCGACCTCTACTAAGTTCTGAATAATGAGAAGTCTTGGCCACAGATCACGCCGTAACGTGTTTTTGTACGTACAGTCACATGGGCCGACCGAGCCGGGCACCAGATCGCGCCGGGTAAATGCAACCACAGCACAGCAGCCAGCGATCCTGACCCTCGAGAATCGCCGCGGCCCCGAGCCGGTCAGCAAGAGGCGCGAGGAATCTCAACACAGCAGCCAGCGATCCTGACCCTCGAGAATCGCCGCGGCCCTGAGCCGGTCAGCAAGAGGCGCGAGCAATCTCAACACAGCAGCCAGCGATCTTGACCCTCGAGAATCGCCGCGGCCCTGAGCCGGTCAGCAAGAGGCGCGAGCAATCTCAACACAGCAGCCAGCGATCCTGACCCTCGAGAATCGCCGCGGCCCTGAGCCGGTCAGCAAGAGGCGCGAGCAATCTCAACACAGCAGCCTGCGATTCTGACCCTCGAGAATCGCCGCGGATCTAAGCCCATCAGCCAGAGGCGCCAGGAATCTCAACACAGCAGCCAGCGATCCAAACCCTCGAGAATCGCCGCGGCCCTGAGCCGGTCAGCAAGAGGCGCGAGCAATCTCAACACAGCAGCCTGCGATCCTGACCCTCGAGAATCGCCGCGGCCCTGAGCCGGTCAGCAAGAGGCGCAAGCAATCTCAACACAGCAGCCAGCGATCCTGACCCTCGAGAATCGCCGCGGCCCTGAGCCGGTCAGCAAGAGGCGCGAGCAATCTCAGCACAGCAGCCAGCGATCCTGACCCTCGAGAATCGCCGCGGATCTAAGCCCGTCAGCCAGAGGCGCGAGCAATCTCCTCAACACGGCAGCCAGCGATCCTGACCCCGACAATCGCCGCGGATCTAAGCCCGTCAGCCAGAGGCGCGAGCAATCTCAGCGCGCATGAGACGGTTTGGCTACTCCAGAATCATGGTAACTGTTCACAGGGATGGTGCTGGGCGAAGGCAAAACCACGCGCGTTACGTTATGCCACACCCAGACAGGCGTGACAGTGGATCTGCGTGACGCAATTGCCTCTGTGACGGTACACTGCCTGGACGAACTGAAGGCTAGCCAACGCTAGCACAAAGAGATGACGAATTGCCAAATACCGAGGAAGATCAATGCTGATGACACGAAGCGTCAAACAACACACCGCGGAAAACCAACAAACCAATGCGTCGTTACAAGGACACTTATAGACACGCAAATTTTTCAAAGGAAAACGCTGGTTGCTAAAAACCGCAAACGATTCAAAAACAACAAACCGGGTACATCTTTCAAAGTTAAGCATAACTTCGCGCGCCCACTGAACACCCCATTCACGCACAAGTCGGTGGGGCACAAAAGCTGACAACATCTCCCGACATAAAGACTGGCGCGGCCGCCAGGATGCAGCCTACCAAACCATGTGGTCGGGCAGCAAAGACGAGGTTCGGACACTATATAGGGTACCAATTTCACGTTCCGCACGGTGTGAGTGTGTAAGAGATGACTACACGTAGATTCATAACATCAATGGTCAAGAGCTGACACAGACAGGCAGATAATCGCCACTGATCATGATCACCAGCAGAGGATCGCCAACAGATCACTGCGGCCGGGCGCTGGCCTTGCCCGAGACACGGACGAGTGGTCGTCGTTTGCGCGGACGATGCCAGTCTGTAACCTCACGAATGCTGAACATCGGAACGTGCCATGCTGGGCACACGATCCTTCCCCATGAAGAACGCCCACGAAACCCCGAGATCAGGCCCCGTACCCCGCAGAGCGGCTCACCGAGCCCTCCCTCTCCCCCCCCCCCCCCCCGCTGCAGCCGAATCAAAAGGCCCGAGGCGGCAAGCGGCAGCTGCTGCATCGTAGGGAGGAAGAGGGATGGCTTGGAAAGGGACATTCCCGCTCGCTGGGTTATTTTTTGGACAAAAGTGAAGATCTCAAGCCCGTACATAACAAATCCATGAAACACAGAGCGCTTCAAGAAACGTTCACGTATTGATGTTCCAGTCTCCATTGAAGATGTTATGTATACCAGGAAGCAACACTGATTCTTCATTGTCACTGACTGACGTTAGAACAATTCGATGACAGCCAATCCACCGCCTACCATTATCGTCCGTGTCTGGGTGTGCGTGTGAGTGTCAGTTTGTGCGTACATGCGTGAATGGGCGGGTGTAAAAGTGCGCAAATGCTTTTCAGAGGCTCTATGCTTCATGGATTTTACGTATCCCGATCTGAAGTCTTCACTGCTGTTCATAAAATAAACCAGAGCAAGATTACTCCACCGCTGGTGATCTTCCAAATGAGAATTCCTTTTAAACCGCCCTAATAGGCAGATGTCACGTAAACTCCGCCATACCAATACAATGTTTGCAACAGCTTACGAAAGCTGAACACAGCACCCTGGTTGAGATACCTGCAATTCACCTTATGTACAAAGAGTCAGTTAGTACCAGTTTCCCTGACCAATGTTCTTCCCTACATGGTGATTTCCCAGGCAAGATCGTGGATGGGCATTCCCTTGAAAGCCTTCCTTGTTGCGAGGGGCGAGTGGCCGCTGTCTAGAAGCCCTCTCCACTCCCTGGTGGTCTCCTCTGTCGGAGTTCGGCCGCGGCGCTGCCTTTGCGCTCAGCGGCGGCGCTCTCTCCCGTCTCCCGGATGTCGCCCTCGTCACCGCGCGGACGCCGGTCATCACCAGTTGCTGCGACAGGGCCATCGGCGGCAGCGGCCGACTCAGCCTCCCGCCCACCCTGGCGCTCTCCCGCCGCCGGATCCCCGTCAGGGACGCTCTCCATTCCGGTGGGCACAGCACCAGCGGCGGCCCAGGGGCACCGGGGCGCCCCCTGTGCCTGCGACGCGCCCTGGCCTGCCTCCGCACCGCTGGTGTCGCCCGCCGCCTGCGGCGTGCGGGAGCCGTCCTCCGGCGCGGTACTGGCCTCCGCCGGCGGCGGCTCGGCGCCCTGGCCCACGAGCTCCGCCTGACACAGCGGGCACTTGGTCTGCACGTACAGCCACTTGCGCAGGCAGGCGGCATGGAAGAGGTGGCGGCACGGCAGCTGGCGCGCCTCGCTCATGGCGCAGTAGCAGATGGCGCAGACGTCACCGTAACGTGCCAGCTGGTCGGGCGCCGCCTCGGGCAGAGCGCGCGCTGTGCGGGCGGCGGCGCGGCGCAGCATTAGCTGCGAGCAGCCGTCGCGCAGCCGCCGCCACACGATGAAGTAGCAGTGCGCGAGCAGGACAGCCACGTTGGCCCAAGACCAGCGGCCGTGCATCGACTCCCACACGCCGGTGGCGACGACGAGCAGCACGACGAGCAGCTGCACCACGCCGGCCGTGGCGCGCGTGCAGTACACCACATCGTCCAGATGGCGCCACGGCTCGCTCCGCTGCGCGTCGTACAGGAGGACGGCGTACACGGTGAGCAGGCCGAGCGCCTGCACGGCCAGCGTCAGCGCCGACGACGACACGAGCAGGATCCAGAAGTCGCGCTCAAACAGCCGGCAGAGCAGCACCGTCAGGTAGACGGGCAACGCGGCCAGCAGCAAGCAGACGAGGACGACCCGCAGGTGCCGGCTAGGCCGCCGGCAGCCGGAGGCGCTGAGCGCCAGCACGGCCGCCTCGGCCACGTCGTACACCGCGTGGGCCGTCGACGTCGCGGCCACGAACAGCGCCACCGACATGACGGCCAGTCGCGCCCGCACGGTCAGGTGGATGAGGTCCACGTGCAGCGCCAGCACCAACACCGTGGCCGCATCCATCCAGCCGCTGTGCGCGGCGGTGCGCACGCGCAGCAGCGCGCGTAGCAGGCGCACGGTGGCCCACGAGCCGTACGCCACGGCCACGCAGAAGCTGGCCAGGCTGATGGGCGAGGCGGTGGTGCTGGCGACGGCCGAGAGCAGGACGATGTACCACTCACGGCGTGCGATCGGATGGCTGCGCGGCACGTACACGTAGTGGTGGAACTGCGTCAGCACAAGGCACAGCCAGTAGGCGAGCTGCAGTCGCGGCACGAACAGCGTCCACAGCAACTGGCGCGCCATGCCCGCCGCGTCGTACACCTGCGTGGCGTGGAAGTAGTACTTCAGGTAGAGCTGCTGGTAGTACTCGATGCAGGCCGGCACGCAGCCGAGCAGCCAGGTGAGGCAGCTGAGGATGGTGACGGCGCTGGCGCAGTTGTGCAGCGTCACCAGGTCGGCGCCGGACGCCATGTCGGCCATCAGCGCCACGACGGGCGCCGCGTGCGCCAGCAGCGAGACGCGTCGGAGCGTGTCCTCCACCTCGAGCAGCACGGTGACGCAGACGGCGGCCGCCAGGTGGACGGCAATGGCAGCCAACTGGCGGCGCAGGAACTCCACCTGCGGTCGGCGGTCCTCGCCGTCGGCCGCGTCGCCCCAGATCCGCCACACGGGCACCAGCTGGAAGAAGCCGGCCAGACCGGGCCCGGCCGGCTGCGCCGCCTCGCTCGTCACGTGGTAGTAGGAGAACTGGTTGGCGAGCACGAGCACAGCGGCGCTGATGTAGTGCATGTAGAGCCGCACCACGTACTCGAGCGGCAGCAGCAGCACGGCGAACGCCTGCAGCACCACTGCCAGCCACAGGACGGAGGCGGTGGTCACGGGCCGAGCTCAAGTCGGGGCCACCCCTGAGACTGCCTCCGGCCACAGGGCGGAGGCGGTGGTCACGGGCCGAGCTCACGTCGGGGCCACCCCTGACACTACCTCCGGTCACAGGGCGGAGGCGGTGGTCACGGGCTGTGCTGAGGTCGGGGCCACCCCTGACACTACCTCCGGTCACAGGGCGGGGGCGGTCGTCACGGGCTGCGCTGAGGTCGGGGCCACCCCTGACACTACCTCCGGTCACAGGGCGGAGGCGGTGGTCACGGGCCGAGCTCAGGTCAGGGCCACCCCTGACACTACCTCCGGTCACAGGGCAGGGGCGGTCGTCACGGGCCGAGCTCAGGTCGGGGCCGCCCCTGAGACCTATACCGGCCACAGGGCGGGAGCGGTCGTCACGGGCTGCGCTGAGGTCAGGGCCACCCCTGACGCTACCTCCGGTCACAGGGCGGAGGCGGTGGTCACGGGCTGCGCTGAGGTCGGGGCCACCCCTGACACTACCTCCGGTCACAGGGCGGAGGCGGTGGTCACGGGCCGAGCTCAGGTCGGGGCCACCCCTGACACTACCTCCGGTCACAGGGCGGGGGCGGTCGTCACGGGCTGCGCTGAGGTCGGGGTCACCCCTGAGAGCCAGCCATACTGAACACCAGTCTCGCACAGGCAACCGGAGTCTTACACAGAACAACCCTTCAGGCCCCATGACAAATCAACACAACCGAGCACGAGTTTCATTCTCTGATCACCAACAGCTCAGCAAACAGGCATGCCAAAGGCCAGCAGGAGACAAATGCGAATTCCGCATTTGGCCGCTCAGGGGTCGTCCGCATTAGGCTAGTGATGTTTTGCTCCCCAACCGTGCACTAACTGTAATAAGGGCTAACTGCGGGCTGCCACGACCAGCCCACACACGACACCCTTGTGTCGACCAGCCCACACAGGACGCCCTTGTATCGACCAGCCCACACAGGACGCCCTTGTATCGACCAGCCCACACAGGACGCCCTTGTATCGACTAGCCCACACAGGACGCCCTTGTATCGACCAGCCCGCACAGGACGCCCTTGTATCGACTAGACCACACAGGACGCCCTTGTATCGGCTAGCCCACACAGGACGCCCTTGTATCGACCAGCCCGCACAGGACGCCCTTGTATCGACTAGACCACACAGGACGCCCTTGTATCGACCAGCCCGCACAGGACGCCCTTGTATCGACTAGACCACACAGGACGCCCTTGTATCGGCTAGCCCACACAGGACGCCCTTGTGTCGGATGGAACGAGGCATCCATGAATCATGAATCAGCACTGAGAGGTTATCACGCCACCGGGAATCCAACTCGAGCCCTCCCCACGGTATCCCGTGATGCCACCCTGTCTGGCCCCTATGCACACCAACATGAAGCTCAGGTGGGTGCCATAGCACAACCTGGAGGTGAGCACATGCAGTGGTGGCTGATGGAATGGCCCCTATGTGAGCCGACAACATGAAGCTCACATGGGTGCCATAGTACAGCCTGGCGGTGAACACATGCAGTGGCGGCTGATGGAAGCCTGTTGGCGCAAGGCTCGGCCACATTTTGCCCTTTGACTAATGCAAAGGTCCCATAGCATCCCCTTGCAGGCAGCCAATGCTGGCCAATATGGAACACAACTGACAAAGGCTAATCAAGTGCTGTTCTGGTGAGCTGGCATCCTCACAATGCCACTGAGCTACTGATGCCTCCATGCTCCTAAACCAATACATGAATTGCAATAAAGAAGCAGAAACAAAGCTCTTGCCTTGCATTCAGCGACCATAGCATACTTACAAAGCACAGTAAAAACAACTGGCAATATTGTAATACACAAGAGCAATGTCATGCAGGAAAAGATGCAAACATGATGCAAAGTCAAGCAGACAACTCACATGATATGGCAATGATGGTGTTGAAGATACCATAGTTGTCCTGATTGTCAGCACCCCACAGAAGTGTGCGGTCCAGCTCAAACTGCCAGCAGTAGTCAAGCAGCACCAGGCTGGGCACTCGCAGGATGATGTCGACAGCCGGCTCAAAGCACCGGTCTGTCACCGACAACACCGACTGGCCCATGCTGCCAGCCTTGTTCAGCACTGACCACATGATGCTGGACACTAGGCCTGGGGAGAGGAGTAATCTGGTCAGTTCATCTGCTGTGCACATGAACATAAACATCACCAAGTATGATTTCTGATGCAAATCTCTGGTACACCAGTGACATCCAAGCAACAAGTTCAGAGCATCCAAGCTGTATATCTAAGAACACTAAAGTTGGTGTGCAGTCATCAATGATGTTAGTGCACTGAGAGGAGTGAGTCATTGTTTCAAGGATTCATAATGTTACTTGGGTAATTTCAAGTCAACATATCACAAAATATTTTTTCAAGTTATGGTGAACAAATTGGCAGCAATTTGGCCTCACGTGCATTCAACACAAATGCACTCAAAGTCAAACAAACAGATATTGTGTAAGCTTTTGGTGAGTTGAATCTTTTGCACACTGGTCATTTGAATTTGTAAGCCAGCCTGCATAAAATCCCTCCACTGTGGTAGGTGCCTACCCAAAATTGGCACACTGAGCCTTGAGCTTGCTGAATTCAGGCAATTACCCTGAAGGCTTAGATTACTTTCATATTGACATAAATTTCTAACATTTCACAGCTTCTTTTGCTTGCAAATTCATTCATACACCAATGAGTTCCTGGAACATTGGTTCTCTGTGCCATGAAATTGGTAGCTAGTGTGCACTGAGTTCAAGGCATTTAGATTTAGGGTGTGTATACTGTACTTTTTTGTAACAATGACCCTACCATGCAAGATGTGTGCTGTGCAATGTGTAACTTTGGCAGTCAGGTTTGTAGGTATGTGTGTATGGCAAATGATACTAACACAGGAGACAAGACTGACAATAAAACAACTTCCTATTTATAATAATGCAATTTTGTCTCAAAACTCCATTAGACTATCTTTAGGCATGATTACCATGGAAACCATGGGGAAAGAAGGCAGAGACCACTGTGCCAAACACCTCCAACTGATATAAATTGAGTTACAGCACATGGTCACCCCTGAACCTACTTTTTACACAACCCTACCTAAGCGGCCTGTCTTTCATAGAGCATGCAACACTGACGAAACCCAGAAAGCTGCCGGATTGCATCATCTTACCTTCAAGATACAGCGTGCAAGAAGTACCCGAAACAACGCCGGGACGCCGGGAACATCCAAAACACCATGGCTACGACCTGACAATCGCGACAGATTATCTATGCTATTGCAATAAATCATGTAACACTAAAAGTAGCAGCTCGGCACCGAACCACTAACCAACCTAACTCGCGAACCGCGCGGAGCCGACCCGCTCGTTTTCAAGGGCTTCGCTGTTTACAAGGCGCCGCGCACTATCTCGCACGGATTCTCACACAGCCGCTGCGCCACATCTGACACCCAGACGCGTCAACGGCGCGCCGTCCAGCTGTCCGTATATACACAAAATTGGTCGCCGTCTGTCATAATTTGACCCGGTACGAAATCGGTGCTACGCATTTCACACCTCCCACCCCCTGCACCCTCCAAGTGGCGCCGGGCGAGAACGTCATGCTCCCTGTTACGCTGTTGACATTTCTTTCTAGATTTCAGCATTTGTAACACCGCAGCGTTACATCGCATTGTACAAAACTCACACGCTTCCCTCGCCACGTTTCTGTTAGGCTTTCAGAGCCCTCCCACCTCCGGGCGTGGCCTATTTATGGACGGCCCATACAATGCTTCGTAACTGATGGTCATAAAGTCACAATCAGTACCTCGAATTCATTACCGCTTTTCGTTCCTACAAAGGCAGGCTGCCGCAACGTCAACGCATCTATATCCCTTCTGTTTTTAAGAGGAATAAGGCTCTTACTGCATAATATCTACATTAATAATGTTCCTCGCAAATGCGCTACACAACTCGCAAATGCTTTAACAACAAACAACAACGTATACCACAATCTCGTTTCGAGGCCCTGCATCCGAGTCACCGTGCCGATATGTGTGCCACCTGGACAGCGGGCACAGGCGCCACCTCAAAGGCCGATCATTCACAGGTTCGTTTATTAGCCCCGACTGACGGCGTTCACATCAGCACTCGCGCTCATTCACCGCAGCCACGCGCGCCCAAAAGCCTGGCAGTTCCGCGCCGCGGCAGGTCCGGCCAGACGGCCATAGAAAAGAAGCAACAATCCAGATCACACGCATGCCGATTGGACGTTGGAGGGCAGGGGACGGGCGACCAGGACCCGTCCGACCGGCAGTCCGCTCCGACCATCGCCACATCCCCGGTGTAGACACACAGCCCCCCACCCGGGTCGTCTCCCTACCGATTCATCACACGTGACCGACAACGCTGCCGATGCCGCCCCAACGAATACGCGTATTAATAGTCGACAGCATTTTGTGCCCGGACCTGAAATGCATGTTATTATTCAGCCAGGCCGGACCTCCCTCGATGCCACCATCTTACCAGATCGCTGTTTAAGCCCCCAGACACCCCGGCCAGGGACAGCCCGCACGTGGTCCCTTCCCAGCGCCCCCCCCCCCCCCCCCCTCCGGCGGACAGACGGGCGCCGGCCGGTGCAGACGGGTCTAGGTCAGGCCCGCGATTGGGACCGGCTGTCTCAGCCGCAGGTGGCAGCACTGTCGCGGCGCGGTCAGTGGGGAGCGCGCCATCCACGCGGCGGCACGCCTCACTATTTACAGACATCGAAGAGCCTCACGCACACCAGCCTCTCACGCGCTCACGCGCTCGTCACGTCGTCTCGCACGCGGTCACGCCTACGGGGTCGCCGGATACAGCGGCGCACACGATTGGTTGAGCACGTTAGTGACAAAAATGCGGATAAATCTCCGATACTCTACGGGTATATATAAAGTTACCTGCAAAGAGCACGACGCCGACCGACATGAAATTTATTTCACTCTGTCGGAAATCGATAACAAAACCGGTCCAAAAACCTATAGTAACGTAAACTTAACGAGCTACGCATTAGTCAAACATGGGTGGCTTACCTCTCACGGCTAGAATACTAGATTCAACACAGATCATCGGTAAGGTAGAGTCCAACAACCGCCTGTTTGGGGGACCAGCTATCCGGCGTCTACGTGGTTTGGCTTTGTAAGACCATTATCGTCTCATGTAAGTTTCAGTCTCATGTAAGCCTGTCTTTTGGTATTAGCAGCGGTGGACAAAACCCACGAATGGGAAAAAGCTTCGGTTCGAAACGATTAAAACTGACGATTGAAAACAGGCGGACCACAACAAATTTTGTGAGCTTACAGCCAGGAAGGGCCCAGGGAAGCGCTTATTGCTGAACACTATGCACAGCGGCGACCAACTCCCGGCGTCTGTTGCGCTTCCGCTCCACACCGGGCAACTGGTTCCAAAAGTTAGAGGCTGCGCGTCCGTCTACCGGTCTGCAGGATCCGTGTGGCACACTAGCGCCCTCCACACGGGAGCGGCGGCGAGTTGAGGCACTGCTGGCACGGGCTGAGGTCGCCTAGATGGGGCGCGTGAAGTTGGCCGGGAACAGGCCCTTCTGGCCCGACGTCTCCTTCACGCCCATCAGCCATCCCTCCTCCTGCAGGCGGAGACCACCAGCTTCACGTCAGCCCCACACCCATCGGACGAAATTCCCGACGCCCGACGCACAGCTGCTCTTAAAGTATTCGCGTCGATTCAGTGAAACACAAAAACCTCAGCGCCGCCGCCAAAAGTAGTAAATGGTACCTGGCAGTAGCGCCTCGAAGGTCTGACATACAAGTCACACCTGGCCCGCCCGCGTGCGGCTTAGAAGAGCCGCCGCCGCTCGGCCCAGCCCGGCTACACAGTGCGGGCTCGCCGAGACCCCGGCACCGGAGCGGCGCCGTCATCGCAATAACTCCCCTCCCTCATAAACGCCACAAGTCGCACACACCGGCCACACCTGCAGGCGGGCGGAAAGCTGGGTTCCCGCTCGCCGTCACAGCCGCCCACCCCGACCCCGCCGCCGCGCCCGTGCGTGCTGCACACCGTCCACACGCCGGCGCACATCAGCTGGCGCGCTGACGCACGCAACGCCCCTCACGAACCTGTTCCTCGGCGTCCTCGTACTCCACCACCTGGATGATCTCGGCCACCTCGAAGCTGAGCTCGTCCGCGTCCTCAGCCTGGTACTTGTAGGCGGCCTTGACGCGGTACAGCACGCCCGGCGGCAGGTTCTCTGTGGTGGCCCCTGGCGGCGACAGGGCCGAGCTGGACACAGGCGACGACGGCGGGGCCCGCCACGGTCCGCTCCCGGCTCCGGAAGAGCCACACGACTCAGCGGCAGCCGCCGGGGAGACCCGCTACTCATGGCCTGAGATCTCACTGAGCACAGTGCCACTGGCACAACGCCCGGCAGGCGCGGCCAAGGACGCACGCACGCACGCACGCACGCACGCACGCACGCACGCACGCACGCACGCACGCACGCACCGCACCGCAGGACACAGTGAAAACACGAAAAACAGCCGCGGGCACATAGCTACCGAGGCCACACCAGGTGGGAAGAGACAACCCCACGCACAGGACGGGCGGCGCGCGGTCCCCGGCCGCACCACAGATCAGTGCACGGGGCTGGCCGTAGTCACTCTCACAGTCCACATCGTGTTCACTCTGGGGTCCAGGTCAGGGCTCGGGCCAGCCGTGGTGGTCTGACAGCGCTTCTCCTTATACCCCCCCCCCCCCCCCCCCCCCCAGCAAAGCGACCGCGCGGGGACACGGCCACACCGGCTGGGCGCGCCGTACAGCGTCCCCCGCACACGATGCACTCTGATCCCACGATGCAACACGAGGCTTTGTGCGCAGACCGGACCCGCTTGCACGACACGCAAGGCTTAAATCCGGCTCCTACGGCAGCGGCCACGAGCAAACCGGCTGAAATAGCGCCGGCGGCCTCCGGCGAGGCGTGACCCAAAATGGATGACGTCACACCGACGGTATAGATGCGCCACCTCCTGGACGGGGACGCGACTTCGGTACACAGCAGGCTAAGGCAGTAACTCCATGGAACTCAGTGGAAGGAGGCCGCACAAAACGTTTCCGAAAACATTGATCAGCTTCCGTTCTCCCTTTTTAGATTTCAGTCTGTTCTGAGCCCATACTGGTGGCAGGCAAACACCGGGAAGGCAAGGCCACAAGACGCCGAGCTTAACAAAGGCACGTGGCACGCCCGTGACCAAGCAGCCATGCACCTCATGAGCCATGCATACATGGCTCATGAGGTGCCATGAATGCGCGTTGATCACGCCTACGAGCCATGCATACATGGCTTGTAGGCGTGATCAACGCGCAGTATCGGCGGCTCGCACTCCCTGCACCTCGCACAAACCACGAGGTCTAAACGAGTCGCGTAATTAGCCAAATTCAGAGGTATCAAAAATGGAGCGGACAAACGTTCTGTGCGTCGGCAAATACAAGCGCCGACTCAAAAGTATGGAAAATAAACCAGTGAGGTCCTGATTATGTAACATTGAGATAGAATACTTCGTGCCTTGAATCCCACTTCAAAACGATTAACATATGTCATTAGCCTGTGCAACTATCGCAAAACCAAACGCGTGTGCCGTGCCCGACAACACACAGTCTCACAAGAAGGGTTACATATGCGAACCGGGCACACGACAACACAGTCTCACAAGAAGGGCTACATATGCGAACCGGGCACACAACGACAGCACAGTCTCACAAGAAGGGTTACATGTCCGAACCGGGCACACAACGACAACACAGTCTCACAAGAAGGGTTACATATGCGAACCGGGCACACAACGACAACACAGTCTCACAGGAAGGGTTACATATGCGAACCGGGCATACAACGACAACACAGTCTCACAAGAAGGGTCACGTATGCGAACCGGGTACACAACGACAACACAGTCTCACAAGAAGGGTTACATATGCGAACCACGTACACAACAACACACAGTCTCACAAGAAGGGTTGCATATGCAAACCGGGTACACAACGACGTGCGCAACGAACGCGCCAGATCGAGCGCCGCACATGCGTTTTGCGGCGTGTGCGGCGCGTGTGGGCGATGTGGCGTGACCTACCGACGGGGATGTCGTAGAGCTCCTCAGGTCGCACCTTGGCGCCGCCGTTGACCGGCCGGGCAGCGCCTGTCGACAGGAGGCGCCCCACTGACTACAGGTGCAGCAGCGGCGCTCACCGCCGGCGCCGGCAGCACACAGGGTGATGCCGGCTGCCCGGGGGCCCCGAGCACACCAGGAGCAGCCAGCCATGGCGACGCGGGCTGTACGCGGGCACGGCGGCGCCGGCTAGTCGGACACAGTGCGCCCTATCACACAGGGCATGCCAACTCTGCTGAGGTGGTGAGGGACGTCCCCTGCTACCGTTGTGTGCGCGCGTGCGTGTACGTGCGTGCGTGCGTGCGTGATGCGAGCCGAATCCTCCATTAACGGGTGGATTCAGCCCACACGCATGCGCAGGTCAAAGATACGATGCGGGTGTGGCGATGTTAGAAACGACAGAAGACAACCAAGGCCAAAACTAGATGGCTAACTGGCAACTGGCATACCAGACAAACGTACGCCACAACTAACACAGCACAAGAGTTCGAACAGTCCGCTACGAAACTGGGTTGTGAACTCGCATACAAAACGAGCAAGCTGCGACCAACGAGCGAGCACGCCCAAAACCACCGCTCGGCATAAGCTGAGGCGCTTCTTAAACACGCTGAGGTTTAGGGTCTATGAGGAACCACGGGGACGCCGCAGCTTGCCTTTCCGGAGGTTATCATCACCCATACTGAGACCGATGTGGGGTTCCCTCTCAGTCAGTCCGAGTTCAAAGCTACATCAATACACAGCGCATCTTCAATCAGGGGCCGCTGCTTCTCCCCGTCATCCCGTTTCTGAGGCTGAGCACTAGAAGCTCATCTAAATGTCGCCCTCGTGTCGCGGTAGAACGTGCCTTCAAATCGGTCCTAGCCAATCTATTACCTCCGCAGACTGAAGGACGCCACGACAATGGCGCGAGGGTCACGACGAACAAATTGACAGAACAGAGCTGGCGCCTGCAGATCCCGCTGCGCGAGATAACAAAACACGAAATCAAGAGAGCTCGGCAAACAAAACAAACGTGCACAAAGCTCATATGGTCAAACTTTATTATTTTCCATGCTATTTTCCAAAGTGGGCGCCCGGCCCATCTAACAAAGAATACGATCACAGCTTTTTTATTATCCCTGGGTCGTAACTAATAGCACTTGCACGCTACCGCACGCTAACCGCACCGTTTTACCCGCTGCGTCGACAACCACAAAGGTGCTACTTTCCCCACAACGTACGACAAGCATGCACCTCAGCACAGCTGCACTGGAGGCCGAGTGTGGCGCGACCAGCGCGCGGCAGTGCGGCGACTCACGCATGCGAGCCAGAATAGGTACGCAAGACAGCTGACAGACGCCAGCCGCGGCTGCTGGCCGATGCCATCCGCCACGCCGAGGCCTCGCACTCACCCGAAGGGACCTCGCCGTTCGAGTCGCCGTTCTCTTTCTTGTACGAAATCTCTTCGTACGGCCGCGGATCCTCTTTGTTCGGCTTGTTCCTGTCAATAGACCCAGCACCATCAGCGGGTGAGTCCACTGCGGCGGCGGCGGGTGAGTCGGAGGTCGAGTCCACCTCGGGGACGCTGGGGAGGGAAGGATATATGCCAGAGACGACGGAGGGTTCCGGCTCCGCGATTGGCGCAGTGTCGCCGCCGGCGGTGGCGGCGGCGGCCGGCTCGGGCGGCGCCGAGGGCGGCGCTGGCGCCTCCTCGCCGGCCTCGGGCGTGCGCGGCGGCTTGGGCGGCGCCTCGGCCTTGGCCGGCTCGCTGGCGTCGCCAGTCACAGGAGAGTTAGGAGAAGAGGCCTCACCGGAGTTGCGGTCCGCGCCACCATCAGAAACGGAAGAAGTTATGGCAGTGACAGAGTCCGGCGGCCCGGCGTGGTCGCTGGAAAGAGCGGGCGCCGTTAGCTGGATGGCCGGGTTCGGCCCATGCAATATCGGCGGGGTAGGGGGAGGGGGAGGGGGAGGGGGAGGGGGAGGCGGTGGTGGTGGTGGTGGTGGTGGGGCGGGGGCGGGGCGGCCGACACCTCCAGGATCTGCTCGCCCGTGCCGCCGTGCGCGGGTGGTGGGGACGTCGGGACTGGCGGCGGCGGCGGCGTGGGCGCGCCCGGCCGCGGTGACTCGAGGAACGGGTTGTGGCGGCGCCGCTGGGCGGCCGGCGAGCCGGCCGGCTGCCGGAACGGGTTGTGTCCGGCGCCGGCCGCCGGCGGCTCCGGGAACGAGGCCGGTCCCTCGGCGGCCGGCGGCGGCGACGTCAGCGGCGTCACGTGGAAGGTGGCGGCGCGCGTCACCCGGCCGCCGCGTCCGCCGGGCCGCTCCTGGCGCACCGATAGCCGCTTGGTGAGCGAGCTCAGCGTCTGCTTGAAGCCGACGGCGCTGTTGCCGCGCACCAGGCGCGCGTCGTCGCGACCGCTGCACGCGCGGCCAGAGCCCGCCGGGGAGACACAGACACCGGTTAGCTGGGGGCCATGCAGCGCGGCCGCCGACCTCTGTCCCGGGAGGCGTCTGGACAAGCGGGGCGGCAGCTGGCCATGCGCCCGTCCTCGGCCGCCACGCGTGGTGCACACCGGCCGCTCGCGGCCCATGCGAGCGGGGCAGGATCGCGGGAGAGGGCCAACCACGCGCGCTCGCCGGGTTCACTCGGGTGCCGACCGACGACGGCCTGTTGGCGGCCGTCGGCCGAGGACCAGGTGATGCCCGAAGCGGATCAGTTCAAGCCACGCAGAAAACGCCACGCCACTGAACATCACGCGCCTTTGGTCGCTAGATGGGGTTGAGCAAATGATAGCCAGGATAAAGACGTTTTCCGCGTAGCACAAACAACCAACCGGCCAGGTTCCCAGCTGTCCCCGGCTTGCCATGACCATAGCCCGGCACAGACAAGGCTGTGAGCATGCACCGAACAGTGAAGCCCGTCGCCGGCACAGGATCGTGTCGAGCATGCTAGCTGCCCGCGAACCTCCGACCACGGACCAGCATGGTAGCCAGCGCATGCAGCGACGAGAACGAGCCCCGGCCAGCGGCGCAGCGTCGTCGGTGTCCATTGAGACCGAGCCGAGCCCAGCAACGCGGACAGCTGCGCCCGCGCAGCTCCCAGGCTCTGGCGTCCAGCGGCCGGGGCGAGTACTGAATGAAGGAACACCTCACGGACCACACCGACACAAGCAGAAGCATGCCTCGGAGTGACAGCCGACATGCTACTCTGAGCTAAGCGGAAACAGGAGTGCACCTAAGCTGATTTCACGTGAGTCTTTCCATGATATAAAATTTTGGTAAGAGTTCACTCGCTCCGTGCCTCTTTCGTTGTAGAAATACTGAAGGCCTGCATATCATTACTACAAACAATAATAATCTCATCTTCACAGATCGCTTTGCTGATTAGCTTCCCTCACGTTTTACCAGTGCGGGATGGGAGCCGCCGCGCCGCTGAATGACGGGCAGACCAGCCGTCGGCACATGACACACGAGCGCCACTGTTGTCACAGGGTGCCAACTGTGATGAGTGTGCCCGCTACTGTCAAGTCGCCTCCCTCGCGCAGCAGCCCGTCACACACACGCAGACACAAGCCCAGCACAGCGAGATCACGCCAAGCACCCCGCGCGACAGGGAGCGAAGCCTATCACCGGTGACAGAAAGTACCAGTCGGTGGGCAGCATGCCGCGCGAGACGGTTGCCGAAGTGCTGGGGGAGGGGTATCCATGTTTTTTTTCTCCTGTGAATGGATAACCACTAAAATGGCAACAAATGCCTGCGCACTAAATACGTTAATGTTTTGCTCAGTACGTTACAGACACCATGGCAAATCTAAAAGCCACCTTAGCCATCCCGCCAACGACGTTTGGCCATTAGGCAAACGCTACAGCCTTTCGGAGGCCCTGACTTACTGGCAAAGGAGCGCCGAGCTATCAAACAAGGCACCACCTTACCAACATCCAGACAGGTTACAGAGGCAGGCTGATCCGATTGGCAGGGCTCAACAAATAGCCAGATCCACAGTGAAATAGTGTAGCAATCCTGCTTCTCATTGCACTGCACTCCATGATCCCACGGCTCCGATGAAGTTTAAACCCATTCAAACAAGAGATAACCCGAACGGTTTTTCCGATCTGATCTGCAAACCAAATAAACTTTTCATTATCGATGCAACGCACCAATGCCACGTACATCGTAGTTCGCGTTGGTACAGTGCACCAAGGCCGCTGTGCACGGCTGACAGACGCGGATCATCAACAAAGAGAGCTCGGGTACGGCCGACGGACAGGGTGGAGTTCAGTCTGAAGTGTGCGGCCAACGCTCAGCTTTTCACGGGCTGGTACTGCGTGCCCACTCGTACTACGACGGAGCAGATCTCACCCTCAACTACCAAGCAGGGCGCTTAACAAGGCCCGGAACCCGAGCCGACGTTGGGTCGTTCAGGCCCAGGCTTATACCCGTGTGGCAGGCTTGTTCCCATTTAACGACGCTTGCTGACAACAGCGCATCTCAAGCAGGACAGAAGACATCCAGATGGAAAGAGATCAACGCAGACTAACACGAATACATGGGAAATAAGCAGAAACCGAAAACGAAGAGAAGACAGAAGCCACACCGACAGAACACTAGAAAGACTCTCACGGCCAACTACGGAGAGCGTGACTGAGAAGGCGGCGGCCAGCGGCGGCCCGACGTCGACAGTGCTGCGGGCGGGACGACGACGAGACGCCGCCTCGGCCCCCAGCGGCGGCCACCGGGGGCGGGCGGTGCGGACACACGGCACGATACGGGACGATACGGGACGATACGGGACGAGACGAGACGAGACGGGACGGGACGGGACGGGACGGGTGCGCACCACGGCAACACGGGCGAGTCCACGGAGGTGTCCGCCGCAGAAAGGCTGCCAAACGGAACAGAGGTCGACAGGCAAGACCGCAGGCATGAACTGAGGCGGGCACGGCAAGGCGCGCGGCCAACGGAAAACACTGTACAAGCCGAGTGCAGACCAAACGCGCGACTCATGCGGTTGAGGAGAGGGCCAAAGACTGAGCGACAGTTAAGTATGAGTCCGTCTCTAACACAGCGATTAGTACCGCTATGGGGCGCCGGCGGCCGAGCAGACTCACGGGCCGACCACGGCAGGCGGGCACTCACGTGGGCGACGCCGGGGTGGGCGCCGTCGGCGACTTAGGCGACTTGGGCGCGTTCCGTCGGGTCGTGTACTTGCCCGTGCTCGAGTCCTTCTGCAGCTCGTCCATCACAGCCTCCAGCTCCAGCTGGACCTGCAAGGGTGGTGCGTCCGCTGAGGCCCCGAGTGGGGGTCGTCACCGCGCCCGCTCGCCGGTCGGCAGGCCGGCCACCCGCACACGAACAGTACGGCACGCGCACGTGACCAGGCAGGACGCAAGCCCAGACCAAAGGCGCGCGAGGCAGTGGAGACCGCCGGGGAAAGCCCAAAAGCCAGCAGAAGTCTTACACAATGGTGCAAGGCATTGACAAGTTGCTGATGAATAAGCAGCCAGCACAGTTTACAGCGCAGGATGCAAAGAGAGCGAGAGGCGGCAGTCAATAAACCATTCCAGAGCACGAGACTTGGGTCTGACAGACCCGGGGCGGAGTGCCGAAGCGGGTGACGCGACGGGTCACCACAGACCGCACCGCCGCCGGCGCGACCCGCCCCGGAGGCTGGGCATGCTGCCGATCCAGGCGCCACAGCTCCATGCCCACTCCACCTGCGGGGGGACCTCCGCCGCCACCTCTACACCGGGCGGCCGGGCCGGGCCGGGTGCGCTCCGGTCGCACCGTCCGCGGCCGCCAGCTGACACGATCCCGACCGGGGGGCGAGCGGCGCCGCACTCCATGTTGTCGGCGGCAGCGGCGCCCCGGAGGAGGCGGCCACCGTGGCGCCGGCCGGTGACACGCAACGCTGTCGGGGGGTCAGAGAGCCACCACCACCACCTCCGCGGCGCGCCCTGCTCGTCAGCAGCGCCAGGGTTACGGGTCGCCAGGCACGCGCCGGCTCCAGAGGAGGGTCATGAGTGCACCGAGGGAGCGAGGCAGCCTGAAGAAACAGAGGCACCGGCACAACCACGGCACGCCACCAGACAGCGGGGGAAGGGTATAGCTCACATGCAGCGATACCTTGGCAGCCTCCGACTGGAAGTTGTGCTCCGCCATGAACAGCGTCTGCATGTTCGACACGAGGAACGGTATTCTGAAACGGAACGGCGGGCGGCTCACTATCCGAGTCAGGCCGACGTACAGCAGCGAGGCTTCATCGGCGCCTCTGGGAGACCAGAAGTACGGAGTTTGATTCCCCGCGGTGCCCGCCTTCCTGCCAGGGCGAGAGGCAGGCGACACCATATGGTCTAAGCTACTGAGAGCGCCGTGAAGCCCCAATGACGTCAACCAAGAGGCTTCGTCAAGCAAACCAGAGCTTCAGAAAGCGTTCTCATACATAAGGGGGGGGGGGGGGGGGGTACACTGGTGCACGACAACTGCTCTAAACGGACACGGTGGCCATTTGATAAACTGAACTCGCTGGAGCTGGTGACAGGAGAAAGGCACAACTACATCGCAGATCCGTTTGATCTGAGCCATTGCTACCCCCTCTAGCGGGTAAGCCAAGTTATCAGTTCACGGATGGAGTTTCAAAGCCTGGACGGCAGAGGGCTCTCTGAGAGCCCCAGCCCACCGCCGGAGTCCCGGAGAGGGTCGACTCCTGCTGAGACCAGGAGGGGCATGGACGACAGAGGGCTCTCTGAGAGCCCCAGCCCACCGCCGGAGTCCCGCAGAGGGTCGACTCCTGCTGAGACCTGGAGGGGCACATTTACCGCCAGGGGTGCTATGGAGCGTGCAGTGCAGCACACCAGGGGTTCCAGAAGGTACAGAGACCGCCTCCAGGCTCGGCGATGAGGCGGCGCAAACACCGATCTCAGATAGGGTACATCTAAAACACGGAGCGCGGGTCCGAGTCTCTGGAGGTCCACCTGCTCCAACCTAGTAAACAACAGGGCGTGGGTCCCCCATCTGTGGTTTCCCAGACAGGACGCGCCCCTCATAACCGTAGTCTCGAGGGAGGGGCGTCTCACAACTGGTGTTTTGGTGGAGGCCCAGTTCGCACCTATAATACCACAGAGCGTGTGCACCATACCTAGAGTCGTAGAGCGCGGGCAGCTCGTCGTACAGCTCGTTGTTCATCAGCTCGAAGGTACGGCGCGCCTCCTCCAGCACCTCGTGCTGCTTGGTGATCTTGGCCTGGTCCCGCTTCTTGGTGTTGTTCTGCAGCGCCTCGTAGTTGTGCCGGTGGCTGTCGTAGTCGACCAGCTTCCGACCCCGCTTTTCAACCTTCCTCTGTCAGCAGACGGAGAGGCGTCCCAGAGCAACGGCGGGACGCAGCCAACACAAGACGTCGGTTATGTTCAACAGCTGTTCACATGGAAACTCGTGCGACATATGAGCCTGCCGTATCCATATAAGGCGGGCGATTCCCTCAAAGCCGAGTGGACACAGCCGAAAGAAATTACATACAACTGTGACTGGATGAATGCATGACTACCTTTTATGAAGACAGAATGACATGACTAATAATGAAAGCTTCTTGTCCAAACTGATGTCCTTCCTCGCCACCAGATTTCACAGCCACGGCATCTCCTCCACCCGTATGCGTTGGTGGGGGTATCGTCTACACACTGAGTGTGATCGCTGCCCGAGGGGCACTGAACTGCCAGCGACGTGAACGGCCACCACGGCGCTGCCCCGTCGGCCCCGCACACGCCGACGTTGCGGGCGAACCGGCGTCATTCCGATCGAGGCCGACCGACGGCGTCATCCGATCGAGGGCCGACCGGCGTCATCCGATCGAGAACCGATGGCGTCGTCCGATCGAGGACCGATGGCATCATCCGATCGAGGGCCGACCGGCGTCATCCGATCGAGGGCCGACCGGCGTCATCCGATCGAGAGCCGATGGCGTCATGCGATCGAGGGCCGATGGCGTCATCCGATCGAGGGCCGATGACGTCATCCGATCAAGAGCCGATGGCGTCATCCGATCAAGAGCCGATGGCGTGAGGTTCAATCACGGGCCCACACATTGGGGGCTGTCCGACTGCATCGGAGTGGCCGCGTCGGCCGATTCGGCGACGACCCAAGCCAAACAGCGTCCCGCCGCACTGACGCACGGCCGCCGCGCCGGCCGTGACTGCCTGGTCATCACGCGCCGTCAGCCACCGTCCGACGCCAGCCGGGGGCGGCCAGCGACCGACCCAGACCAGCCGCTGACCGGCACCCGCACCCCACCACGCGGCAGGCCGAACACGTGCCGTGCTGTAGTCTACGGGTACTGGCGAGGCGCCCAGGTGCGGCTTGTTTGACTCAGTAACGTACGCATTTTTCAGGTCATCTCTCACGAGCCGCGACGAGTGATGCGCGCAGGTCAATACAGACAGAACGAGAGCGGTGCGAGATTTCCGTGCAGCTTTAGCAAGCTGCTCACATGATCTTACGGAAAGACTGACAGCCTGTCTCCCGACCCGTTGCTCTGTCCCACCGGCTGGAAAGGCCACATACAGTACTGGCGTCAAATCCAAGCCATACTGTCACCGAGCATACATCTAGTTTAATAGCGGACATTTTACCCATTTGCGTTCGCTTTAGCATCTGGGAGGGACAGGGAAGTCGCCGGGGACCTGGAGTTTTGCCTGAGCTCACCCGACGAACCGCATTCCCAAGCTAGACATTTGGCACGGGCCCCGGGAAGCAGACCGGGGTGGGTAAGCCGGTCTGAATGTCAGCGCGTCCGGCCGGAACGACGGGAGGGACGGGCTGGCGAGCCGACAGGGCGATCACCACGCGAGTCTGCCAGAAGGCCAGCACCTTCAGCTGTACACCCGCCGTGGCCCGCTCGGCCGCTGGCCGGGAGGGACTGCTGGCGAGCCGACGGGAGCGATCACCACGCGAGTTCTGCCAGAAGGCCGCACCTTCAGCTGTTACACCCGCCGTGGTCCGCTCAGGCCGCTGGCCGAGTCCGCCTGAGCGCCGCCACGTTCGGACCCGAGCCCTGGAATGGTCCCTGGGCCCGACGCTGGGCCGACCCGGGCCCGGCAGGCGGCCGACGGGAGCCTGCGGGGCCCTTCGGGGACCCAGCTGAGCCGACCGGCCCGCCCGGGCTGGCAGCCCCCGCCGCCAGGCTGGCATCCGTCCGAGACACTTTCGATTTCGCCGCCGCCGCGCCGTTCCACGCCGCATTCTGCCGGCACGACCGGGTCCAAGGGGCTGCCGACACAAAGCGACCAGCCATCTGTTTCGGCTCAGCCAGCCCGGAGCGCGAACGCCGGGGTGACGCAACGCTCCTGCCGAGAGACGGCAGCTCCGGTCACAAAAACAGCCGCCCACAAACAGCCGCCGGCGCTGGTGCTGGTCGCCCCGGCACAGCTCGGATCGTGACGATGTCAACAGGCAATGCTTCTTAGAAGCTGACGCGACCACCAGAGCATCGCTCGCCTAGCATCCTGCCATTTTATGCAAGTTGCTTACCGTCTGGCATTTTTCGCGGACTTGCTTTTATTGTCTTTACAGAAGACCCCAAGCATTGATTAACGATGCGAATAATAACCCGTTACTTACCTAACCACATGCCTGCACGAAAAAGGATAACAATCACTTTTTGGTTCCGAAAACGTGTTAATCAGGACTTAGGGCTTTCGCAGTACGACGAACCATGCGGTGCTCCAGGCCATCTGGGGCAGCGGGCGAACTAGTCGTCGTTATCGGGAACATCGGCCACGGCCCCGATCACAAACCAGTCGGAGAGAAATTCGGATGAAGTCCTCCTGTGATGTGTGAAACGTGTATCGATGCCCCACTGAATCTCAATGAGCAGCCCATGACTGGGGGCGAGCACAAACCGCCGGCGCCGTCTCCGAGCAGGCGCAGCTCCAGCACGCGCCGACACCTGCTGGTTGTGACCTGAGGCACGACACATTCCAGACCAGGCCGAGTGCCAGTCATTGAAACGAAATGAGAAAACTTCGAATTCCTGCCTGCCATAACGAACCTCAACAGCAAAAACGCTCAGCAGCTTACTGAACACGAAACAGCCAGCACGCGCCTCGCTGAGCGTGAGCCGGCTGACGCAGACCGGCCGCAGCCGAGCGGTGCCAGGTCACCCTGGCCGGCCTGCTCCTGCGACAGCCATCGGACCAGTTCCCTTACGGGGCGGCCGCCTCGCTGGTCAACAGCCGCTCGTGTGACCGCTTATCGCAGCCTGGTGCCCCGCCCCCCACGCCGTCCGTCGACGGAACCAGCTGCTCGGCGCGCACGGCCCCGGTACAGCGCCGCGTGGCGGGCCCGTTCCGGGCTGCCTGCCCGCGCTGACACCGCCGCGCGGCGGAACGCCACGCCCACCGACCCCGGGGTCACGCCCCCCCCCTCCCTCCCGCTGCTGCCCAGCACACGTACCCGCACTTCGGGGAACTGCGAGGCGTACGTGTTGAGCGGCTCCAGAACTTGGTCGGACAGCTTGTGGCAGTAGTCGGCCCACAGCAGCTCCAGCTCGCGCGCCTGCCTCTCCAGCCGCTCGCGGTCGGACCACTCCGGCTCGTACATGTCGTAGATGGTGTCCATCATCGATTTGTTGGCCGCCTGCATCGCTGCGGGACGGCGCACGCAGGTCATCTACCTCCGGCACGTCAAGCCGGCGGTTTTGTCGCTGCACAACAGGGCGCGAGGCACCGTGCCCAGCAGTCTGTATTGTCGCGCAGCGGACAAGTTCGTGCACAAAAAACACCCGTATGGCTGCCACCAGGGGACAATGACACGCAACCGGAGGGAATGCACAGCTGCCATCGACTGCAGGTGTCGGCGGGCCCGGCATTCATACAGCACGGGGCACAAGCGCATACAACAGGAGGTCAGGGGCATGACTGCCGCACGCGGCCGTGGTGACCCGGTGCGGGCCCGGCGCCGGTGCTGCACGGACGAGACAACGCACCCCAGGCACCCATGGCTGTCAGAACAACCCGCGTCTAGCAAGGGTGCGGTGCAGGGACGGGATCCCTGCGGCGCCGCCCGTCCGATCGGCGCCGCCAGCCCCCGGCGCGACCGGCCGGCCGGGCGCGGCGTCACAGCCCGCCACCGCGGCGCGCCCCCGGCCACATCTTCATGCAGGGATGCTGCCTCACGACCGGCGCGCGCGGCTAGCGTCCAGGGGACGGCGCCAAAAGCAATGACCGCTGCAATCAACCACCGTCACAGCCAGTGAACAGTGCATTGAAAGAGGTGGCCACGGAAGGTGAACAAAAACAAACATGCGGGGAAAAACGGGCGTTTATCAGCATCACGTCGGCAAAACAATGCCACCCATAAACGCGCCGCGTTCCGGCCAATTTCGACGCCGTTCGGTGTTTCGTGACAGCGCCGGGCGGCGGAGCCTGCAGCAAGCGACGTGTTCACGCGCCGGCACAACGCCAACGCCCCGTCCTGCAAGTCCAGCCCCTGCGCGTCCGAGGCCGCCACAGCGGCGGCACGGGCGCGGGGGCGACGAGAGACGGCCGCCGCCAGCCGGAGCGCATCTGACTCGGACCGGGCCAGCCAAGCGCGACCGATTGGACAATTACACGGCGACGCGAGCGTCAGCCGGACCCGGCGCAGCACGCGGCGGCCGGGCTCGGCGCCGTTCGCTGGCAGCCACCGATGGTGCGGCGCGTCCGGCATGTCTGTCGGACGCCAGGCGGCACTCCACGAGCCGCCAGGCTGGCCGGCTCCGGTGTGTATGAGTGCGTGTGCCCCCTGGACGGTGGCCCGGGATTGGGGTTGCTTCGACTGCCCCCCCCCCCCCCCACCCCCACCGCCGTCAGCGACCCGCAGATCCACCGGTCCCGGTACGATAAGGGAGCGCCAGCGGCAGGACGGACTACGGCCAGCCGTTTACGGTTGGCCGCGCGCACGGTGTGCGGAACTCTTGCAGGCGGGCCAGCGGGACCGGGCGGGGGCACGGTGGCCGGCCCAGCACAGAGCCACACTGAACGCCACGGGTCTCCTGGACACTGTGAACGCCCTGAACACAGCGCAGCTTCCGGAAACAGAGCCGTTGCAAATGCTTCTGTCGCCACACCATCTCGCCAGTCTATTAACACTAGAGGCACGTCCCTTTCCAGCATTCCCCCCGGCCCGGTCAGTCCGGCGGCATCACCTCCCCTTCCGCGTGACATCACAGGAGTACGACGGCGCGGTACGCACCTCGGGCGCAGCGGACGTAGTTGCTCATCTCCTTCTGCAGTCGGGTGGCCTGGCCCTGCTGCCTGCTGAAGTTGTGCACATAGTCGTCGAACACCTCATCTGTGGTCCTGTCGGCCTTGCCCAGGTTCTGGAGGATCTGCAACAGACCGAGCGGTGGGTTAGCACTGGTTCGGTTACAGGCAGACGGTGGGTCAGCACCGGTTCGGTTACAGGCGGACGGTGGGCTAGTACCGGTTCGGTTACAGGCGGACGGTGGGTTAGTACCGGTTCGGTTACAAGCGGGCGGTGGGCTAGCACCGGTTCGGTTACAGGCGGACGGCGCGTTAGCACCGGTTCGGTTACAGGCGGACGGTGGGCTAGTACGGTTCGGTTACAGGCGGACGGTGGGTTAGCACTGATTCGGTTACAGGCAGACGGTGGGTCAGCACCGGTTCGGTTACAGGCGGACGGTGGGCTCGTACCGGTTCGGTTACAGGCAGGACGGTGGGTCAGCACCGGTTCGGTTACAGGCGGACGGCGGGTTTAGCACCGTTCGGCCACAGACAGACGGCGGGTTAGCACCGCTTCGGTCACAGCGAACGCGAGCGGCTGCCGACCGCTGCCAGTTGTCTCCCTGTCAGTGGCTGCCTTCACGGACACCGATGCCCACCACAGGCCAGCCCTGTCAGCCAACAGACCGAGGCGCGGCCAGCGGACAGCGAGGTGCGCGTCGGCTCAGGTCAACCCATCAGCACCAGCTCGCGCGGCTCTCCGATCGCGGCCACCTCGCAGAATGGCACGACAACGACAACCAGCCCCAGGACCCGGACAGGCCTCAGCGGAGGCCCTCCCCACGGCCCCCTGCCGCTGGTCTCCGCTCGAACCGCGGCCCGTTCGTGTCACGTGACCGCCGACCGCGGCTGGCACCGATGATGATAATGATTATTTTTATTTTCAACAGCACTTCGGCTGCTAGAGCCATTTCGCGCAGCAATTACGTGACACCGGCTGAATGTCACCGCTTAAAAGCAGCGAGGTCACGACCTAGAGACCGCACCTGGCCCGAAGGTCAGCGCATGGCCGACAGCCGCAAGTATTCATTTCATTATCCTTTAAGCGACCACCTGTGACGGGAGGGGGGGGGGGTCCATATCCAGTCCCACCACACAAAGAACTGTGTTTATGGGCGGAAAGTTCAAGCTCGGGTGCCTCACATATCAGGGGACATCAGCGTCACGTGACCAGTCGAAGAAACCCTCTGCCTTACTGATCTGAACAAGGTTGCAATCAGTGCGTGATCGCACCAATAACATTCGCCCAGTATCGTTTGCACATGCGGCCATCCGCTGTGCCGCACAGCCCAAACCCGTGGGTGCTGTACGCGTGACCAAAGCGGAGGTGAGTCGGAGTGATGTCTTCTCCAATCTGTCAGTAATAGGATACCCAGTGGCCTATATGTGCTTAATGGCATTCAACCCATTCCAACCGCTTTCCTGGTCTCACACCTGCTACCACTCAGCCCGCCTATAGCGCCTTGTAACGGCGTTGAGGCACTGACGGCAAGCTGCCAGTTTCTGTTTCGTGGGGGGGGGGGGGGGGTGCGGTGTTTACAGTGCAGTAGCACTAGCTGTAGTAGTGTTGCAGCCTTCGCGGCCTGGCCCGCAGATTCATCGCCAGTCGGGCCGACGCGCCCCGGGAATTCGACCGGGATGATCTGTTTCCCGTTTGCCTCTAGACCACACGAGTCCCAGGATCATCCGGGCTGTTTGGGTCGCTGAAGCAGCAGGGCTCCGGAGAAGAAACAAAACTGAGCTGAGAAAGTCAGCCAATATTACAGAGCATTGGCAGCTTCAGGTGTGAGATCCAGTCAGACGCTTAAGACAGCGCACCAGTTCAGCGGCCCAAGACGGACACGGACGGGGGCATCGTACACTGTCCGGAGCCCCGTGACGGTAAGCAGGCACACCCGGTGCCCCTGGACGTTCTGGATCCGTCAGTGCACAAACGTGCCGCTTCTCTGTACGTGTCTGGGGGCGCGCGCCGCCGCGGCCGGCGCGATTCCGTCGCCCTCTGCACACACACGCCTTCCGCCGGCCCGCTGCGCAGTTGTCTGGAGTTGCAGCCGCACACATGGGTCTCCGTCGCGTACGAGTGCACTAGTCCGATCTGCTAGGAGATCGGCTCCGCGGCTCCGCCGAACGGCGGCTCCCACACGGGCTGCGGTCTGCTGCAGGACACAGCCGTGCTGACGGGCTGCGATCTGCTGCAGGACACAGCCATGCTGACGTGCTGCGATCTACTGCAGGGCACAACCATGCTGACAAGCTGCGATCTGCTACAGGGCACAGCCATGCTGACGGGCTCGCGTGAATTTATCGGTGGGCACTCACGTCCGCAGTGAATGAGTGGAAGTGCCATGCGAACTGTTCTCTTTGCAATCGCAGTACGCTTCTTACAAACAATGGGACAGATTAGGCTAAGGTACTATATCGGACATCAGATAGAATGCAAGGACGAAACCACGCCTCAATGGTCCGCGTGACTAGTCCGCTCTCATGCTGTTTCATAAGGTCCCAGCGCGGTTTTAGCCCGGGCTTCTCAAGCGTCGCGGAGATCCGAAACACACTCACCACAGTGGTGGTCACGCTCCCTACCCGACGTGCGCATGACAACCAAAGCCAAACCACCACGTTATACCCGCGAGCAACATCCTACAGAAGAGACCAGCCTCTGTCGGATGTATCCAAGATCCAGATCCTGTGATGACTAGCAACGGACAGGAGACCCAGAGCTCCCACAAATCATGTGGATTTCGTATATAATAATCTCAGTTACTTAGCATGATTAATGGCAAAGCCTGCTTGTTGAGCCTGTAAAATTGCCACCGGCATACCAGTGCCTGGCATTTGAGCGCCTGGGCAACACGTGGCATGCTCGGCGTGGCGGGCGGCTGTCGGAAGCTCGCCGCGCCGTATTTCCTGACCCCGAGCAGCACCTGCTGCAGCGTGTCGGCGCCGGCCGACCCCTTCGCCACCGACACGCCCCTGTGAGCGTCCGCTCCACTCCCAGGCCGCCACTGACCTACTTCAGAGCCAGCCCGGGACGTCCACGCCAGTTACTAAGGTATGGAAGGCCCGTTCCGGTCTGGACTGCCATTCAGTGTACTCTCAGTCGACACTGGCATTTCTAGGCCACTAATCTCTACGCCCCAAAGCTAAAAAACCGGCCGGCCACATGGACCAGCCACCAGGACCGAAACACCAAATCGGTTTAGTGAGTCGGTCCAGCAAATGGTTGCTGTTTGAGGGGTTGGCAGCGCACGGTGTCGTGCAGCCTTTCATCGGACTCCAGCAGCTGCGGCCGTTACATTAACTCACACTTACGGAGTGTGCGTCTGTATTACTGGCACCGTAATCAACTTGCCTCCTGTACAGTGCTGCAATGCTGCCGCGATCACAGGTTCGCAGGTAGCCCACCGCCCCCCGCGCGCGTTAAATGACGACCTGTCCGAGGGTCTGCGCTAAATGACGTCTGACTCACAGGTAGTGGCGGGCGATCTGGCGAATTGTGCGCACTTGGCGCATGAATCACCCGGTAGCCCCGGGAGCCGTGATCGCCCACCCCGTCAGATCTGTTCTGGCGGCCACATCACTCCACAGGCAGTTCGTCGAATCTGAGATGCGCGCTTCAAAGCGGAGTAAAGGAGC